AAGATACACTTTACCATCAAATTAGTATGTGCACAGAACTTCTCTCACAAAGACACTTGCTATATAAAAGATTATCAGAAATGACTAGTGACAATTTCTTATACACACTGCTTTCGAAATCAGACGAGAACGTGTCTTGCTTTCTGCTTGGCAATCAGGAAGCTCTCTTGGACTTTTTAGCACCAGAGCATTGTTTGGAAGTCCTTAACGAAGGATTTTCCTTTCTAAAATACTGTAGACTGTAAATACTTTTCCATCCTAAATATTAAGTGACATTCTATTATATAATTTCAAAACTTTATAATTGTACATGATTTGTATATGCATGTTGTCAATCTCCTATAGGAGGAAATAAAGTATGATGATAGTGTGACGTCCATTTTCACTGAACCAGTACACAATTTTATTTAGGGGCCAGCTGAGGACCACCTACGGGTGCGAGATTTTCTCGCTGCGTTGAAGACCCATATTGGTCTTCGGCTGTTATATGCTGTTTGGTCGGGTTGTTGTCTCTTTGACATATTTCCCATTTCCATTCTCAATTTTATCATTTCTATATTTCAAATTATGAATTAGTTAATCTATTACCGTTATAAAATTAACAGGGCTATTGTAGTGTATAAAATACAAATTATATATAAATACTAGTTATATTGTCATATTTCAGAATAAGGACCAAATACTGTGTGACTGCGTTAGTCATCCGTCAACATCACCAGTCGCAAATCGAGATTTTTTTTTTTTATTAAAATGAATGTCTTTCAGAAAAATGTCCCAACCCCTGGATCTCCCTAACCCGTGTCTTGATCCACAACTGTCTAGTCGCTATACCAAAGCATGCCTTGATGATTTCACTTAAGAGATTATTAGTATATCCAGGGATTGGTATATTCTATACATGTATCTACATGTATAAGTATATCAAAAAAAGTATGATATATAGACTCTCGCGATCGGATAATATTAGATGAAAGTGTAGAGACATATTTGAAGATAAAACTAAAAGTAAAATATGACTTTCGAGAAACAAACGAAAACCCAACACAATATAAATAAAATAAGTTAGGAAATACGGTTTTCAAATGTTCCCCTCTAGGAGGCCTCGATAAATAGAACATTTCATGTATGAATAAAACATAAATAATTTGAGTTATCTCGCTTTGTGCAAATGTTCTGTTTTTTACAATCTCGTCTGACGAAATATTATCTGACGAAACATTGTTAATATCTTTCAAATACCATGATTAATAATGAAGAACACGTAGACTTGAACTAGTATAAAAGATAACTAACTATAGTATCAGTAATAGAAAGCAGAAATCATATCACAAGTTGTATACCGATTCAAATTTTAAAAATTTATACAAAAATGACTGAAATGTTACCAAAAGATGAAAACAATAAAATAATGGAAGAAAATTCGGAAATAAAGAAAGAAAATTCAGATCAAAATGTATGTAAAGAGAAGTGGAAAATGTTTCATATGGAAGACTGGATGCAACATTTTGTAGGATATTGGAACTGGCCTCCTTCGAAATGGGGCCCCGGGCAAAATAAAGACCTTATCAAAGAAGGGAAGTCGCCATTAGAGATTTGGGATAGTTACACTGACGAAGTACTGAAAAATCACAAAAATTTGAAAGAATATCATGAAACTGTTTTGAATGAATATGAGAATTCTAAAGAAAAAGGACAAACATTAAATTTCTGGGAGAAATATTGGAAGGATACTTACAACACGAAATTACCAAACCCAGAAGAAATGGAGGAACGTTGGAAAACTTGGAAAAATAATGGATATTCAAAGGATAAATTCTGGGAAGAAGAAAGGAAGAAATTTAAGAGAGAAAACGGTTGGAGTTTCTGGAAGAGGAGGAGAGTGGAATGTCAGGAGATTCGGGAAAGTGCGGAAAGAAGGACACCGTTCGGAGGAAACAAGTGCAGGTTTCGTCGGTGTTCCGGTAGATTTACGAGCAAACAAGAAGGTTTGAGTCCAGACGAAACACCGTTTTTCAAAATGTTTGATTTTGATTAATGTAAATAATACTTTTCCTTTTAAGTTAACTATGTCTTTTTGAATTACAGAGAAAGTGTACATGTGTATTACGTGTTTATTTAAAACGAACAAATGTATGATGTAGAAATTGCATATCACATGATAGCAGGTTGATTGTGTAAATATCATTACGTGTACAAGACATGATAAAATACTGAACTTTCTGGGGGAATTGTAACAAAAGATAATAATTATTCCATTCGTTTGATCAAGAAGAAAGTTGCATTTTCATATCCAAATTCATTAATTACATATTAATAAATATACCATAATAGTTACACAAGTTTTTTTTTTTTATAGTTTCACCTTATTACTAGGATTAATCAAATTAAATACTGGTCGCACCACCACCCCCGCCCCTTTTTTTGAAAATCAAAGATCTATGTTGACTTTGGTAAAGAGATACATGCATCCGAAATTCTTGCATCTGGTTTTGAATACAATTCTCAAGGCGTTGTTCGAATGTACAAATACACAGCCAGGTATTATATCAGAATGTATAAGCTTTGAAATTGTTTAACATTTGGTTACTCCTAGCTAGGCTATTGATAGATTTCAAGACTTGTGGTAGTGGTGTTGGTGGTGGTAGCTTGGGGAGGGGTAGGTAGTCTTAATTTTTAACAATTCACTCTTATTATACGTCTAGACTACTCTCTGTTCTTAATTGTTTGCCCATTATTCCGTATTATTTTTACCTAAGCACCCCATTATTCTGTATTCTTTCTTTATTTTTTATTTATTTTCTTCATTGTTAAATGTTTTTGGACCAATCATTTTTAATTCCGTAAACCATATCTAGGTCCTATTTTTTTTTTTTTTTTGATATGGAGGTGATTTCCGATGAGACAACTTATTATCAGAGTTTAAATAACGAAGGCAAAAGCAATTATTGGTCACCGTACGGCCTTCGACAATGAGAAAAACCCATACCGTATAGTCTGCTATAAAAGCCCTGACGTGAAAAAATATGAAACAATTCAAACGAGAAAACTAACGACTTTTAATTGAACAATACAATTTACGAAAAACAAATATGAAAGACGTGAACCAACGACAACTACAGAATTACAGGCTCCTGCCTTGTCAGGAGCACCAAGAATGTGGAAAGGTTGAACATGTGTTTGAGCGCTTAACCCTCCCATAACCTTGGACAGTGGCGTATGGCTATATGTTGATTCGTAGTGTTTACTTGTACATCCTTGTCGTTTGCCCCAATTATTCTTAATTCTGTAAGCCTAATTTTAATCATGTGTTTGGCCATATGATGATTCATAGTTGTTTCTTGTATAGCCTTGTAGTTTCGCGCGTTTGGTGGAAAGTTGTCTCATTGGTAATTATGCCACATCTACTTATTTTTTGTGAAAAGGTAATTCTTACAAGCGAAGCGTAAATTATGCATACAATTCCAAAGTGTTTGCTTAAGTTTGAAGCTTGTCCGTACAAGTTTTAGAGCTATTGAAATACGATTTTTTAAGCCATGCATTCAAGATAATGGTGTGCATAAGATTAAAAGGTGAGCACTATTAGCGTTAAATGGTAAGTCGAAGAGAAGCTGACAATAACGGCATGCTGAAAAATACACCCTCAAAAAAATGAAACGTTAAACAACAGACGACAAAACTTAACCTATAAAACTAACACGAAGTCCTCCAAAAACCGGGGGTTATCTCATGTGCTACGAAAGGGTAAGGTGCTTCCCATATGGCACCCGTTGAGTTGCTCAAGTTCACATGCATTTGGTGATAAGTCTCATTCGGTGATGTCACTTTCGAGTCAAAGAAGAAGGGATTGTGGTTACAATTGGAACATATCCATGGTCATTTGTGACACAGAAGATGCTCAAACTCATGATGCATCTTCGCTAGCCAAGGGTTACGATCCACTTCCCGGAAGAGGATTGTAACCCTTGGCTAGCGAAGATGCTTATGCTGGCGTTCGTAAAACGTTTACCACTTGTAACCGATGGTTCAATAGCTTCCTTTTTAAGAAAAACATGATAGGAAACGCAAGCTCTTGAATATCGTGTTATTGAGTTTCCAAAAAATGGCTAATCCTGTATCTTATTGAAAAAATAAGTATGTTTTTTAATAAAGTCGAAAGCATAAAATCATGTTTGTCCTGAGAGAAAAAAACATGCCTCCTAGCTAGCCCCTCCAAAAGATGAATGGTGGTTGCTTTAGTTTGTACATGTATGCTCAGATCATCAAGTCATATCCTATAATTCACTGGTACATTTAAATTGTAAGTTAAAATCTTTTATTTAATACATTGGTGGTAATCAAATTACAGCGTATGATTTTTTTTATCTTTGCAATAATGAATACTAGTATAAGAGGTCGGTATTCCTATCTTTGAAAATAATCTAAATTGACACGACTAAATTTTACCACAGTAAGACATATTATTGGTGGAAGCTTACACAACTAAATTAAGTAAGTAAATCATTAGTTTTAACATAAAATAGTTTAAAGAGTTTGAACAGAAATCTTCCGTTAAACAATATCTGTATTTGGTCGGTCAAAGCAACAGATTCCTTTGTGATCTTCCACCATCCGTTGGTACATTTTTGTACTATCCAATAAGCTGTCTATTCCCTATTCATTTCCAAAGCTTTGTGTCTTTAACTTCACCGGGTGGTGATCTGAAATAAATAGAAATGCGTTAAGTTGACGTACTAATAAAATCATTTATACTAAGGGAGATAAGTCAAATTAACATTCGGATAAAATATCTATTAAAAAAAAATCAATATTCTATTTTTGATTTAAAGATATTAAATTTGTGTTAGTTATTTAGTACTAATACAAATGTACTATAACCAGACAATTTTAAGTACTTGTTATTAAAAATCGCTTCTTGAAATAAAAATAAATTTGTTGTTAAAATGTTAATTCTGAACTTTTAATAACAATGGCACATCTACCTACTTCGATTTCTACGCCCTTTTTATTTCCGGAGAGGTTAAAAACTGCATCTCTTGCATTTGTACAACACAAAAGGAAATAGATGCATTCAGTCTCCATCGAACTCCGAGAAGCCACACTAGAAAAGAAAGAAAAACTAATAAAAGGTCTAATCGTACCTAAACATCATGAACAACTTTGCTGTACTGTATGGGTTTTGCTCATCGTTGAAGTCGTAAAAAACTCATTGTTGAAGCCTTACAGTTAAGCATTGTTGATAACATCTATGTTATTTGATATCTGGTGGATGATTGTCTCATTGGCAATCATAACACATATCCTTATTTTATTTTTTTTTGTTTTTCGGGAAACAAAATTTCTATGTCATTATAAAAGTCGAAAAGAAAGAACACCAATGAAAGCTATATTCGTATATGAACATAATTTTTTGTAATATTTTGGAAACAAAATCTCAGTTACCGTGATTATACATAACTTTTCACGTGAGCCAATTTAAATTCTAACCATTATAAATAATAATACACATACGACTTACAGACTAGGATATGAGGGTCCATCCATTATGTGAACTACATGCTTAAATTCTTCAGTTTCTTTCCACGAAATGTACGATTTGTTTTTCTATTTTCTTTAAATACTGACGAACATACATGACTCACAATAACATGTCTTGTCAGTTGAAGTTTTAAAACTAAAATTATAGCTTTTTTTTCTTAGTTTAAATAGACAGCTGTCAGAGGCCGTATCTGAAATATAAAGGTGCTAGTTTTACGACCGTCTTTAATTCGATGTAATTCTCATGAGATTGTTCGAAATCTTATAAAGCGGAACCCTGAAACTTGTATAAATAATGAACACGATAACCTAAGCTGCATTTGGCAAAACCTTTCGGAATTTTGTTTTCTCAATGCTCCGAGTCAACATCGTACTTGATGTGGCCTTTTAACGTTTTTTGTTCGAGCGCCACTGATGAGTCTTTTGTAGAAGAAACGCGCGTCTTTTTTATGTTGAACATTTGATTCCACTTTTCATCCGTTTCGAAATGAATAAAATAACTATATATATATATACACACACAAAACAAATCAAGCAAAACCTAACAGAAAATAACTACAATGAGATGAGAAGAAAACGTTTGCTAAAATAGAGTATAAGATTAGAATGAAATAGGATTGAATATTAGGTGTTTAACGTCTAGTGGCAAATATTTCATACATTTAAAGAAATGAAATAAAGTACACCTATAACGTTGACCAAGTGTGCGTATGCTTTCAAGCTCATTTTCTATTTACGCTCGAGGCAGATATATTGTAGTATTAGAATCAAATTTATACAACAATAATTGTGGAGTTATTTCGGTCCTTCTTTTGAAGCAGTAACCTGGACGATACCAAGTTTCAATGAAATGTGCGTTGATGCATACATAATGACCTGTATAAGGTAATTATTTGCCCTGATTAAAATACAACAACAGTTTGTTAAAAACGTTTAATTTATTTTGAAATAGTACTCATGTGCTGTTGCCAATTTGGGTTTTACTGTACTGACTTAACGAAGCGTATATGAACATACTTGCTTTTAATATTCTGGAAACGTAATCTCAGTGACAGTATGAATAACATTTCGCGGGAGCAAAATTAAATTCTAACCAGTATAAGTAATAATTAATTTATTCATTTATTCAAATACACAGTTATACCCCAATAGGGTTGATTGCATATATGAATTTAACAAAAATAACACAGTGCATAAAACACCACAAAAATAATAAAAGTACAAGACATAATATACATTTTGTACATATATGTACATATCAAGTGTGTATAGTCGGTGAGTCCACTCTCCTCCGTGACCATGACTTTTTATTAAATGGAGTAACACATATAACTGACGGACATGAAAGACATACAATCAATTTATTTAAGTTATCAATATCATCTATATTTGAATAGGTATTCCTAACTTTCGGTAAACATTCAAGTCTCATGTTTTAACTTTGAGTACATTTAAATATGAAATGTTTTTCATCGTCTATTTCATTTAACATGTAACTTACAGACTAGGAGATGATGGTCCATCCATTCTGTGATATGCACCATGGGTAGTCATCAATGTATAGTGGCCTCTGCGGGTAAAAAATCGACAATGTTAACTTTGCTTAAATTCTTTAGTTTCGTTCCTTTGAGAAAACGATTTGTTTTGTTTTTTCTTTAGATACTGATGGACATACATGTCTCTCTATAACATGTCTTGTCAGATCTAGTTTTAAAACTATATTTATTTAGCTTTTCTCCGTTTTAACTAGACATCTGTCAGAGAGCGTATCTGAAATGTAAAGGTGTCCGTGTTTAAGACCATCCAAAATTTGTTGAATTTTTCACTCACTTTAAGGTTAATTTCGGTTAATAGGTCATGTCACAGATTTTTTTTTAAATTTTGCATACAGCCGCGAATATTAAACTTGAACTGAAAATCGATAACAATTTCTCTAATTTTTGTGATATTTTCAGATTTCTTGATCGGTGTGAGAAAAACATTTCTCCTCACTAGTGAAGTATCTGTTCTCGGCACATGATTGGCTGAAATTTAATTATGACGTCAAATTTTCTTGGTTTCTTCTGAATTTTCTATTGTGACGTCACGAGAAAAGGCGACCATTCCTGATGACGTCACATATAAAGAACACAACTTTCTGCAATTCTTTGAAAAGGAAGGATAAAAATCATTATGGAAACAGATTCCACTACTATAACTCGTGTTCTTCGATATTTCTCCACTCTCAACAGTTAAATTTTACTTATTTAAAAAGCTCGGCAAGCCTCGCGCTTTAAATATTAAAATTTAACTGTCTCGAGTGGAGAAATATCGTAACACACTTGTTGCAGTGGTGGAATCTATATATAATGCATTTATCTCATTTATTTTCTGAAATAATATTGAATAAATATTTTCAAAATAGATGAACATTTGTATAGAAAGCACATACAATCGACGAAAACGCTCTTAAAATTGTCTTAGAAGTATAAAACCTCAAGTTTCAAATGCATAGCTTTTTTTTAAAAATTGATATGCTTTGATAAATGAATTTCCGCTTGATTGGTATAAAATAATCGTAGGGTCACTGACCTAGTTTATTATTTGTTTGCCAATCTGTAGAATGCGCTATAGTTGCCCTTAGTACCGAAAACGTCAAAATTCAACGTTGTACAGCTTACAACGCAATGACGTTTCGCTTATTTCGTCGTTTTGTCGTATTTTTCAGCTAGAACACTGTTTGACTGATGCATACCAAAAACAAGAAGTTGGTGACCCAATTAATTTTTGACATCATTAAAAACTTCATACAGTAATATTTCAGAAAAACACCAAGGGTTTTTTTAAATTTTAACTTATTGTTCAAACTGCCAAAGTTGTATGCAAAGTTTAACCAAAATCTGTGATATAGCCAATTTACGCATATAGACCTTAAAGAGGAACGCCTTAAAGTTCTATAAATATAGTGTAAGCACGATAACTTAATGCATTTGAGATATAAAATTGAGAATGGAAACGGGATATGTGTCAAAGAGACAACAACCCGACCAAAGAGCAGAAAACAACCCAAGGCCAGCAATGGGTCTACAATACAGCGAGAAAATCCCGCACCCGGAGGCAGGCTTCAGCTGGCCCCTAAATAAAAAATGTGTACTATAGTTCAGAGAAAATGGACGTTACACTAAACTCCGAAACATATAGATGAAACAAAAAATAAAAAAAAAAAAAAACATACAAAACTAACAAAGGCCAGAGGTTCCTGACTTGGGACAAGCGCAAAAATGAGGAAGGGTTAAATATGTTTTGTGAGATCTCAACCCTCCACTATATACATGTAGCGTTTTTACAATACTTTAAAATATTTAACAGTTCAACCTTTAGAAGTAGTTAATAAGTAGCCTGGGGAATCTCATTCAAAATTTGTACGATCACGGAAAATTATTGAATTAAATTGGATTAAAAAATTACAGACAGTCTATCCTCTCGGTCTTAATGACAATATCATGGGAATTGGTAATATATCAAGAACATATTCTGTTAATATTTTGGAAATAATTTCTAAACCAGTTCGTAAAAACCGTTCTCATGGGCGTAGAATAAATCGCAATCAAAGAAAATTTCGTATTAACAATACAAATATATCGGACTAATTTCTATTTCAAAAAACCAAGCTCTGTTCTTTACCTGTTAATAAATTACATCAAATTTTGGAGGAATGCAACACAATTCCATATTGCAGTCCTAAGTATGAAATTGTGCAATTTATAATTGCATATTGCTATTCTAAATTGTTTCCCAAAATTGATCGCCCTAAAGATCACAAAAAACATTTTATTAAAATTAAATATTTCAATAAAGGTTTTGATTTTGTAAATATTGCCGGTATTTTTAATGATCAATCTGTTAAAGAACAAATTCCTGGTTATTTTGATAATACTGAACTCCCTCTTATTGTTATGAAGACAAAAAATCTACCCGGAAATATGCGTTTAATTACAGCGATGTGTGTGAAGATGTTAATATCAGTGACAATACACCTACGTCATGAAATTGCAGTAATTCCGAATACATTTATGGCCCCAGTTCCCATGTTATAACAGGAGACCTTAACATCGTTCATGACCGAGAGTTGAAATCATTCCTCAGTAAAGGACCCAAATATCGTCTCCCGTCAATTATTAATTGGAATGAGTGTCGTAACATCATCCACGACTCACTCCGTACTTACTGCTCTAAGTGGATAAAACGAGAAAAAGCTGACAAGAAATCATTAGATTCTTTTTTTAATTCGATAATGAACATAATTGATATACGTATTCAACATTTTAAAGAACATTCTACTCCTAACAACAACCATAAAAACCCTAGTTCTCGTATCAAACATAAGCTTTAAGAACTCGCCAAGGAATTTGTTTTTGTCCCGAGTGATAAGGCTGCTAACAATATCATTATTGTTTGACGTAATTTTTACATTGAGGTTCTGAAAAAGGAAATCACGAATTCACCAACATTCCAACTGACTCCATTTTCTGAAAATGACATCTGTAACAAACATAAACTTGTAGCTACCTCTTTACAAGCAGAACCAAATACAATGAAAGTTCCAACTATGCACTGGCTTCCGAAGCTGCACAAAACTCCTTACAAATATAGATTTATTTCGTCTTCAAACTATTGTTCCACTACTAAACTATCTATTCTACTTACTAGTACACTTGGTCAGAAGTCCATTACTAGACTAGTAATGGACTTCTGACTTGGTACAATCAAAAACCTGGTAATAAATTGTTCAAATAAGGCCTTTGATAGTAGTGGAGTTAATTACTTTTGGAGTGTCAAAAAGTACTTGATAAATTGCATGCTTATATTGGTGATTTCGAATCTGTTTAAAGTTTTGATTTTTCTACTCTACATACCACTTTGCCTCATAATCTTATTTAGAAAAAATTCACACACCTGATTGAATTGGCATGTAAAAAGTCAGAATGCGAACATATAATATATATATGTTCAAACTCTTTTATGTCATTTTTAGTAACAACAAACAAAAGAACAATGTCAATTGGACCTGTTTTGATACTATAACTGCCCTTGAATTTTTACTAGATAACATTTTTGTTTGCTATGGAGATTCCGTATATCGTCAAGTTATTGGAATTCCCATGGGGACTAACTGTGCACCACTTATTGCGGACCTGTTTCTGTATTGTTATGAGTTACAATTTATGACTAAAATCAGCAAAGACCCATCGAAACATCATCTGATTCAAAAATTTAATAACACTTTTAGATATTTAGATGATATATTGGCTCTCAATAATGACGACTTCAGTATGTACACTAAAGAGATTTATCCTGCCGAACTGACTTTAGATAAAGCTAATACTAATAATGACCACTGCCCTTTCCTTTCCTTGATCTTGATATCTAAATCTTTAACGGGAAGCATAATACCAAAATTTATGACAAAAGAGATGATTTTTCATTTCCTATTGTTAATTATCCATTTTAGATGATGACGTTCCCTTGTCACCATCTTATGGTGTTTATATATCTCAACTTGTTCGATTCGCTCGTATATGTAACAACGTATTTGATTTTAACGAAAGACATCTCTGTTTTACTGAAAAATTATTACACCAGGGTTTTCGATATCACAAACTAGTCAAAACATTTACTAAATTTTATCATCGGTACAAGGACATTATTCGTAAATATAAACTAACATGCAGACATCTTATACGTTCAGGTATTTCACATCCAATCTTTTATGGTAATATTCTTTACAAAGCACAAAAATGTCGGCATTCACCTCAAAAGCTAACCAAACCATTAAACAGACTTATTCGGAAGGGATATAGTTACGATACTGTTGTCAGGTCATTAAAGATGGCATATTTTGGTATTAATATTGATTCACTCATAGGGTCTTTGCATCGGAAATAAACACATTTATTCTAAAACCAGTTGCTGGCATGATACGGGATTATGTTCTTCTCATATATTTTATGATGGTATGATACTAAACCCCTAACGGGAGGGATTGTACTTAATTTTCATATGATGAAGACATAATCTTTCAATCAGTTTAATTGAGGTCTAGATCTGGCATGTCAGTAACTGCTAGTAATCCTTTGTTAATCTATGTATCATTGACATTTTACTTAGTTTCTTTTGTTACCTATTCTGACATAGGACTCGGACTTCTTTTAAACTGAGTTTTACTGTGCGTATCGCTGTGTGTTTCTTTATTCTACATTGGCTAGAGGTAGAGGGGGAGGGTTGAGATCTCACAAAACACATGTTTAACCCCGCCGCATTTTTGCGCCTGTCCCAAGTCAGGAGCCTCTGGCCTTTGTTAGTCTTGTGTGTGTTTTTTTTTTAATTTTAGTTCATTTATATGTTTTGTAGTTTAGTATGACGTCCATTTTCACTGAACTAGTACACATTTTTATTTAGGGGCCAGCTGAGGACCACCTCCGGGTGCGGGATTTTCTCGCTGCGTGGAGACCCATTGGTGGCCTCCGGCTGTTATCTGCTCTTTGGCCGGGTTGTTGTCTCTTTGACATATTCCCCATTTCCATT